AAATTTACGCAAACTTACAATTTACAATATCTGCAAAAATCGTAAATTTGCGCAAACTTACGATTTACAATATCTCGGGCTGGAGTGATCCGATTTTAATGATTTAACCACCATTAGAACCGGAATGATCCATTGAACAACTTTACTTAACATAAGTTTGCAAAGTTTCTTAAACAAAATTTGGATTTTTTAAAAATTTCCGTCACTCTACGAAGTAATCGTAAAATTTACGGTGACTTACGTTTTTAATTTTGCTGATTAAACTTTATTGCTGTTAAACTTTATGCCGGATAAGAATAAGTCACAACAAGTCATAAGGTCATAACAAATACCCAATAGGTCATAATAGGTCATAGACAACACTGATTTGATGAAACCTAATCTATTTTTCAATGAATGAATCAAAAACGAATTACACAATTTTCAATTTGTGTATCCGTTTTACTACTGCAAAACCATATGATCTTATCTTAGAATTGGCGAATTTCTTAATAACGATAATGATTTCGATGATTTACATTTGTTCTCATTAAATTCTGGGATAGTCGACGTCGGTAACTGTTTAACTGTTGCCCAAAGTTTATGAAACAGCTGTAAAGGAAAATAATAGTGTTGTACAAAACACTTCTGTATGGAAAATGGTTACATTTATACTACAAATCGTCATTTTATCTATTGCACATTGTTTCTTAATTGAACTTTGTGTGAAATTCGGTCTTCTATATAATTCAGAGAAAAAAAAAATAAAATAAATAAGTACAAAGTATAAGTTGTGATTTACACAAATTCTATGAGGCTCATTAGCTTATCGTTATCAAACGTAAGCCCTGTAATATGTAAAATGCTTTAAACCGAGTAATCAGGCTGTATTATTTAAATGCCTAATATTTCATAAATTTTCCTTTTATATATCTAACATCATCTTTTGTAAGTGACGAAATCGTAGTCGGAGTGGCTCGAACTCGGTGAATCCTGTCTTCACCTATATCGTTGAAAATTTCGTATACCTTTTGAGCCTTTGATATTTCCTTCTTGAAATCAATACCGGCAGTAAAATGACCGCTAACTTCAGTGTTAAGCAGCTCTCGAGCATTCTTATGTTTTTTCTCAATAAGATCTTCAAGTCGATTTTGAAGTGCTTTACCAAGCTTGAAGTAATAAAGATTGGTGCGATTTTCTGGATTTTCCATTTGTTGGCATAGTTCATTAAGAGATTCAGGTACGACGGTAAACGTATCTTCGTTCATCCTAACATCCTCCATTACGTCAGCTAATAAATCACTCAAAATACTGTCAAGTCTACGCAAACGAGCATCCTGAGGTGTGCCGGTTTGCGTTTCGGTAACTCCTTGTTTATTATTATTCTTAGCAGGTGTAACTGGCGAAGTCAATTTTTCACGTTTACTATTAGGCTCGGTTTCCGGTGGCGACACTTCTTTTCGTTTCTTATTGGATGCAGTTGTTGATTTTTCATTCTGTTTCGTATTAGATGTGGTTTTCGGTTGTGCCACTTCTTTCTTTTTTTTTTATTAGTTGAAGTTGCCTGTGGTGTCACTTTATTCTGTTTTTTATTAGTTGAGGTTACCGGTGATGCCACTTTATTCTGTTTTTTATTAGATGCTGTTTTTTGCGATGTCGACTCTTTACGCTTCTTAGAATTCTTAGAAGATACAGTTTCTGAGGATGTATCTTGCTTTCTCTCCTCCAGTAATTATCGATAGAACTAGTAGCGTAAAGTTCATCTTGACTATTAAGAGAATAATTGGCTATTTCTTCATCGTGGGAATCGGAAATTTCGATCTTCCATAACCTAAGCTTGTCTGCTGCGATATGTTTATATTCAGGTGATTTTTTCTTTTTGATAGCATCTTTAAGATGGCTTATATACTTATTGCCATCAATGTCGACAACGAAGGCGCACGTGACGGGTTGCCCTCTAACTAGACAGATAAGAGATATTGGTGACATTGTGTTTTTTTTTTTTTTGTTTTTCAGTGGAAAGAAATAATGTGAATTATATAGAAGACAGAATTTCACAAAGCTCAATTAAGAAACAATGAACAAAAGATAAAATGACTTTTCGTAGTATGAATGCAATCATTTCCATACAGAAGTGTGTTTTGTACAACAATATTATTTTTACAAAATAGATCTCTTATCTCGAACTTTTTACAGCTGTTTTCATAAATTTTGAGGCAGCGACCAACATCAGTTATCCCAGAATTTGAAATCATCGAAATTGATTGCTGCCAAATCCAATTACATAGGTATATACCAATAATTTAATAAAGGATTCTAAAATAAGATCAGAGAAAATATATAATAT